GAGAGACAAGTCTGTCTTCTTGGGAGTTATAGTCCAATAATGGAGACAGATAATGAATTTCTGACAGCAACACTAATAACGAACTCTGGAGTGCTTCCTGTGTGGCAGACACTGTATGAGGTGCTACTGTTGTTAGCCTCGTTTCGTATATGGAAACTGAGATCAGAGAAGTTAAGACAATTTCTTAAGCTTGCAGAGCCAGTAAGTGGCAGAGCAGGAGTTTGAACTCAAGCAGTCTGGCTCCAGAGTTTCTGAAGGCAGAAATCTGTGTTTTGTGCCTTGATATCTGCCAAGCATCCAGATCGAAGAACAGTGCCTGGCGCCTGTTCACCTCATCGTAGGTGCTCAGTACACATTTCATGGATGTCTGAATACGGAGTCAGTGAAAAAAATGGGTTTTACTTTAGTTGTGTGTGAAAGTTGCATGGGCTCTGTTACTTCGTCCCATGGCCTGAGTGCAGAGGCTTCTAGAGTTTGGATTCTCCCCTCTACCTCAGTGGTGTCATGGCTGTTGAAGTAGCACCATTTTCATTAAGTAACAGCTAATATATGCAATTTGAGGCATAACTTTCCTTCGTCTAAATTTGTTTTGGGTCTTTTCTTTTTTTTCATTTCTGTTTATTAAGATTTTCATACTTTTCCCCTTCAGATATCAGTGGGAATTTTTAGAGACTTTAGAAATTATTTGGATATTAACCTAGGAAAGTAGTGATAATGAGGAATAAATTATATATATGAGAAACTATTTTTATCATATTTTTGAAGCCAGTTGTAGTTGTGACAGATCAGAAATTTTCAGTTATCTGTCATCAGTAATAAAAATCACGTGAGCAAGAAGCACTTTGGCACTGTATAATTTGTAATGTCCATAGGCTTGGCCAGGACCCTGGTCCTAGGTCTGTCCAGTCATCATAGCCACCCTTGAATGTGTGTCCACAGTCTGCCTGCCACACGCTCTGCCGAACGCTCTCCAGACAGCACTAATGACTCTCACAGTGTTTCTCCAGGTTGGCCCTGTAACACTCAGTTTACCGATGAGGAAGCAGAGTCCCCGAGAGAAGCTGAGTCCCTCGTCCAGGACCACACAGCATGCGGCACGGTGGGCTTCCAACTTACTTGGCCTCGGGCTGACCCCAACACATACTGGGTCACCGCTCTCTGCCACCAGTGGCCTGTGTGCCCACGGCCATTTTCTCTCTTCTCTGAGCCTGTCTTCCTACTTTTAAAATGATGGGGTCACATTTAAATGACAGTGGCGACCTTTTTACAACATTGTATCAGAGAGGCTCTGAGGTCCTCCCTCCACTGTCTACGGACTCTTCGGTTCAGACACGTTTATCAGGCACCTCCTGTGCAACACCGGCAGGGTAAGGTGCCTCCACACTACAGAAATGGGCAACACTCGGTCTGTTCCTCCGAGGGAGCGAGGCTGACCGTTGCCCTGGTAGCTACGGACTTCACGGCCCGTGCGGCAGGTGCCTGCTCTCAGCAGTACACCCCACCTGTCATTCCAGCACCGGAAGGAAGGTGCATCATCTCTGTCTGATTCCTTACAGAATGAAACACCCTTTTGTGCTTCGAGCCTGGCGCTGCAGTGCTTTTGGCAGGATGGAAGGAGTGGCTGCGAAGTGGAGCCGACGTGGGTTTAAGGAAGTACTGTTTGAGTCAGCGAGTGCTGATTTAGCGGAATGTTTAATCGTATGTGATTCTGACTGGAACAGAATCATCGTGGTGGAGAGACTGTGAGGAGGAGCTCCTTGGTTACCTTACTGTGTCCACCTCAGGGCAAACAGCAGCTTGGAACCCGCATTTGATCACTTGTAAAGGAGGGTCACCCTACTAAAGCACGTAACAATGTATATTAAACCATGAAACTTCAAACCTTTGATATCATCACGCTGTTGGGTATCATACAATGTACTGTGTATTCTGTTTGATACCCTTAGTGATACTTATTACTTTATGTTCTTTTTAATTAATTTATTTTTTATGGTGACGTTGGTTAACAAAATCTAATAAGTTTCAGCTGTATACTTTAACAATAAGGCATATATATATGTATATATATAATATACATATATATATAAATATATATATATTTACACTGTGTGTTCAGCTCC